CAGAACGCAAAAACCCGCGGTTATTCGTTTTCCAACACGGATGTGACGTCACTCTCGAGCTGCAAGTCGCGATTACAAGACAAAACGAACGCACCATTAGCTGGTAATAGCGACCGATGAGCACGCTCCAAATCTAGGCCCCCTTTGAAGTCAGCCTGAAGGATTTCGGGGAGAGTAGCCCTCAAAAACGATATGGCATCTTTATCTTCAACACGTTCCGGGAAACCATAAATGCGTAAGTTGACTCGCCTTTCCCGGTCCTCGTACTCAGTTAGTTTGGCGTTCAGTTTTTCAACCTCAGAAGCCGAAGCCGGGGGCGAGTCGCAGCGCCGCCTCTCCACCTCCTCTAGCATATCAAGGCGAGCCTCAGCGCTAGTCATCCTGGTTAGCATGTCAGCTAGCTTACCCTCAATTGCCTCGACAGCTCTTCTCGTTTCTGAGACGTCCTTGCGGATGTCTGCAAGTGTTTGGCTTGGTCGTCTGATAGTTTCTGAAGAAGCTCGTGTATTTTAGCGGTGGAGAAGGACTCATCCGCGTTTTCCCGCGTTGGCGATACAGGAGAGGTGTGGGTCGCTTTTGAGCTAGCAGTAGCCCTGGCGCTTTGCTGTTGTTGAGACGCATTATCGTTTTTCCAGGGATTTGGCATATCGAAGTGGGATAAGCTTGTAATCGGCAACTTGTGAAAAAAAAAAACAATGAAATAAAAAGCGAATGCCTATATATTCACACAAAATGTAAACTGGTGGTGCCGCAGCTTCCAGCCTAAGCAGCCATCTTGCTCGGCGTCATCACGTGACCCCCATTGAAAACATTTTTCAACAATAAAAACTGAAACAAGTAAACCAACTAAAATGAAACTCAAAGCTAGTAAAAAATTTACACTTAGAAACTAAATGAAAATAAACTGAATTTCTCTCTCTCTCTCACACACACTTTTCCCTTGTGTATAATTTATCTTCAAATATAATTTATGTGCTTGCAAAATATATTTTTCTGTGCTCCAAATCTCCCATTGCTCGCTCAGGAATGAGGCACAAATATTACGCCATAGACTTCTCTTTAAGTATCACGTGCAGCCTTTGGTAGGATTTACCAGTGCATGGATTATACTGTTTCTACTCTGTTTAATCTACTCATACATTTATACATAAGGTTTCTTATCACTGGCTCACATGTGGGTACATTTATGCAGACGAACACGAGTGTGACTGTAACATGTTGACACACTCGGTACCATCCTCATGGCAACACTGAACGCTTCTGTTAAGTCTCTGCAGCACAGGTGACCAACCTGAACAGCACCTTTCTATCAATTACATCACAGTGTATTACCCTGAGCACATTCTTTTTCATATTATCATCCATTAAATGATCTGTAAAATGGCATCCAGCCTCCGGTACTTGACCTCATTAATTACTTTAAGTGCACCACTGCTCACGTAGAACTAAGGGGATACTCAGTTTGTATCCTCTTGACATATCATTACATCACTCTCAGTGGCACTGAATCTGATGTCAAAGTAGCAGCATGTAGGTAGCATATACTGCTGAAGGCCTATTAGTCTGTTAGTTAAGCCATACTGCCAAAAACCCTGTACCCTTGGTAGAACATTAAAAGGATACAGCTTACTAAAAAGAAGAGTAAGAAAATATCGAATTGAATTGTTTTATGATATTGAGTTTTGTGTTTAAACACAGATTTTATGCATATTGTGGTGTTCTTTATACTGTGACAGTTTTCCTAAAATGAGATTTAAAAAAAGTCATATCACCTTGCTTAAAGTATCATAATATATCATTGATATATTTTGAATCGTAACCCCTGTATTGTGATATGTATTGTATCACCAGATTCTCAGAGGGCCACACTGGTGTGTTTGCATTCTAAGGCAATTTCAGACCAAGAATAGAGCTGCAATTACTACAATTACTTGATTAATAGTTAAAAGTCAAAATTCTCTGATTTCAGCTTCTCAAATGTGAACATTTTCTTTAGTCCTCTATGACAGTAAACTGATTATCTCTGATTTGTGGACAAGACAAAACATTTGAGGACATCACATTGGGAAACAATAATCAACATTTTTCACAATTTTCTGGACCAAACAACTAATCGATTAATTAAACAGATTAAAAGGCCCGGAGGCCTTCATCATAATCACAGGGGACTTCAACCACGTTTCTCTCTCATCCACACTCCCAACCTTCCACCAGTTTGTCACATGCACCACCAGAGACAATAAGACCTTGGACCTGCTGTATGCAAATGCTTCCTGTTGTTTATATCCTGTAAGGCTATTTATTTGTACTCAAATGTTGGGCTGTTTGACAAGTGAATTTCCCATTCGTGGGTTAATAAAGTTATCTATCTATCAAAACCAAATTAAACTGTAGTCTCAACACCCCCCTCCAATAATGAGAGGTGGTGTCTACTACAACTACTACAGTAAATGTTTTAATGGTAACAGAAACTAACCTTGAGCGAGTCCTGTCGGAGTTTGAGTTCTTTGGCACTAAGTGTCGCTCCCATGGTGCTGAGGATCCCTGAGAGGAGTTCAGTCTCTTTGGAGAGCCAGGCCTCAAACTCTCTCCTCCTGGAAATGTACTGTCCTGCGCCTCCCTGTAAAACCCCAAACAACTCTTAAGACTTACACAGCACATACTCACACAAGTCAACAGTCATTTTGTGGCTTTTTTTTAGTTAGGGGTAGAGATACTTTGCTGATGTGTGGACTGTTTTTCCTTGCCCTTGTCGCCAATGCTTGTCATGGTGGTATCTGTTGGTCTCTGTAAATAATGTATAAAGGTTCGGTCTAGACCTGCCATCTATTTGAAAAAGTGTCCTTGAGATAAACTTCTGTTAGGGAATTGGCGCATTACAAATAAAATTGAATTGAATTGAATTTAAAAATTTAATATGATTTCATGTCGAGAACGATTCTTCTGTTAGACAAGTGCAAAACGTGCACTAAAATTCAATAGATGACAAAATAACCATTCAGGATTGTCTGAAGCTTAGACAGCTGCATCCATCACTGGAATAAATAGTAAGCTCTTCATTATTTTTCTTTTTGACAAATGCTGCTCTGATTTGCACATTTGAGGAGTTATGTAGCTGCAAAAGAATGTATATAATAAAATATGGCTCTCAAAACAACCCTCAGAATAGAGCAGAAACATGGGGAGCTGTGAAAAGAGAGTGGGAAGAGTAGTGGTAACCCATTGACTAATATATTGCCCTAAGTGTCTGTTAAAGCTGCAGTAAGGAACTTTTACTAGCACTAGGAGGAGCCAGAGAAAGTTGAGTTTTTTTCACAGATTATCTGTCCCATGTACTACTGTATATAGTGAAAGTTTCAGTGAATAGGACAAAGAGTAATTTTTGTAAAGGTTACCTACTGTAGCTTTAAATACAGTTCACCCAGCAGCCTATAAATGGCTATCATCAATCACAAAAATACATTTATTTAGATGGTGCACCAAGTATAGTAAGTTAAGTAAACTGAGCTGAGTCTAACTGCCTGAATGATCACTTACTCACACACACATTCACACACTGATGGCAAAGTCCATTGAAAAGAAAGTCATTCACACACTGATGACACATGCAGCAGGGAGAAGGATCGAACCAACAACCTTCCAACCGCTGAGCCACAGCATAGCACAGTATACGTTGTATGTACGTTATTATTATGTCTTTCTTCCTTCTGTCGTTCCTATCTGTGACTCAATAAAGAAAACAATAAAAAAAGGATTTGTTGCTTGACTAAATGTAAGGTAAGGTGCTTACAGTATGTTTTAGTGCTATTTTAGGCATATTTTGATTATTATTGGGATAATGAATGCAATGAATGTGAATCCCAATTATTTTGGCCAGGATAACTGTGACATTGCCTATCAGGTTGTTGGATGATCAAATGGAAGACTTCCATGCAGACATTTTGGATGTCTTGCGGTTTGAGTATTTTAATGGTAAAACCGTCACATGGCTGCTGTCAAAAGATGTGTTAGAAACATTTAGGAGCTTGTTTTATTATTATTGTAGTATTCTACATGTGGCTAAAACCGTAGTTTTGACTGAGACTGAGCTGTGCCATCTATTGTGTCCTCTACATGTCATGGCCTAGGAGCCGGGTTATGACAGCGGCTCCATGTTTTTTTCGCTTTTTGATTTTTGTTTATAAAATTGTATAGAGTGACACTTTCTTTCTCTTTTTGTCAACACTGTTGAATAAACATAACTGGATGATTCAATGGACAGGTTTTCTGTTCAGCTGATCTGTACAGTGTGAGCGTAGGTTGTCTGCATTATTGGCCGCGCAGAATGGTGAGCTGGGATTTTCTTTTAATTGTGCTCATTCTCAATTTTACATGTGACATGGAAAAGAAAATTATTTTTTCCAATTCACCTTTTTTCCATTCCAACTGATTCCAACTGAATACATGATTTTTTATATGTGCTGATATTGACACCAGTTATTATTATTATGAGACTAGTGGTTCTGTTCTGTCAGTTGATGTTGATGAACTGTGTTTGGGTTTACATCCATTCACCATATGGAAAGCTTGTTTAGTGTTCATGTTGCCAAATTCATGCTCCAATGGCGGGACCTCAAACTGCTGGCCTAGGGCCATTTCTGGCCCTTCCTCTGGCTGGCGAAATAATGTCTTAAATTATATTCAAATTACGAAAACAGCCAATCAGAGCAGAGGACCTGGGAATGAGACTATCTTTCTCGGCTCTGATTGGTTGGTTTCGTTAAGGCCCGGTGGATTCTTACAAATGCCAATTGGAGCGCAAGAACGAGCCAGAGGAACAAGATTTTTTCATAGATTATCTGTCTCATGTACTACTGTCAGGATATAGCAGATTCTTAAAATATGACAAAAATGTGTTTTCATAAAAATTACCTACTGCAGCTTTAAGGTTAAAGGGGAACTTCGGCAGATTTTTACCCTAGTCTTGATCACTAGAAGTCCCCGAGTACTGTCGATAG